ATCTGAACAAAACTCACAGCAAAAAAACAGATATTAAAGCAAAATTTACGAAATACGTATTGAAATAGTAGGGTGTGTATATCTGTTTATCCAGTCTAATAAATCAATTCAATAGTATCTATTTAGATACAAGTTATGCATGTATGTAGTTATCTTTATCTCTCTATATAGCTAATTCAGATCTAATACAATTTAGATCATTCTATTAGTTGTTGTTTCTCTTCATCGACTTTTCTATGTTGAATTTTTTGAATGGGTCCCTTTTGACCAAGTGAAGTTACCACGGCCCATGGCTGCTCTTCTCCGCTCCCGAAGACTCCAAAGACGACGGCGGTGGCAGCAAAAAATCCAGACTTGATCAGGACCACTCGTGACCACTCCTGTCTCGTCTGTAAAAATTCAACAAAAGCTTTTTGACAAATATTTCTTTAAAGTCATTCAATTCACATCCTATGTTCTCAATTTTATTATAATTGTCTGGCTGTCTGCCTTTAAATCGAAATGCAATATGTTAGATATTGCAGTTCAAACCTGTTCACCTGGTTCAGAATGATTTCTACCTAGTGGAACACAGATGGACTTTTAAGATGACAGCTGAGGGTTTTCTCATTAACGTTGCTCACAGATTAATTTAAATAGAAAACTATGACAGGCTATTTATAGCTATTCTAACAACAGTAGATATGAATACCACATTGTACCTCTATATTTGATTCTGAATTATGACTTGATTTGACAACTTGTTTTTTTTTTAATTTTCTAATTTTTGAGAGTTACACAGTGTTGTATTATTTGTCCCACTTATGTTTTCAGTTTATTTGGTTTTTGTATACATGTCATAATCTACGCCACGTTACTTATGCAGAATTTTAGAATACTAGTATTTGTACAATGTATAATTTTTTTCCTTGGCATCCATCAAAATCAGCTCATAAATTTGAAGGAAACACCCAGGTGTCTCTTAAATGAAATAAAAAATAATAAAAAAATAAACAATTTTTTCGCTACGTACCTTATTCTCAGTAAGTTCTGCCGCCAGCAGTGGAAAAGTCAGGCCGACAGCACGACAAACCACCCGGCCTGTCCCTGTCAGCACGCTGGCGTATCGGGGTGCAATGTCAAATGGGTTGGCATAAAAAACTGAAAATAAAATATTACAATGATGAAAGCATTTTAAAACGTCTTTTTTGACGTCAGCGTTTTTACATGGGAAGCATGAGTGTTGACAAGCATTAATATTCTATCATTGACACATGTACTTAAAATGTTGTTGCATACTTTTGATTTTAACCTAATAAAGTAAACTACTAAAGTTAAGTTGCTGTTGTAATTTAATTTTACCAGTTCGTTATCCTTTTTGAATCCGGTGGTCCTACGATAAGTAGTTGTTAAGGGGGGCGTCCAAAGATGACCAAAAAGCCATTTTTGAATTGGGTTACTTGGGAATAGGACAGCGGCTGTACAGGGTTAAATAGTTGCTCATAGAATATTTGGCTCTATAGTATTATCAATTTATGACTAGATTCTGGAAACTTGCATTTAATGCCTTACCTTTCTTTGACGTGACACTCTGTCAATCTGCCATCACATGTGTGCTACCAACTTATACTCTGCTCGGACAAGAATGCAGTCAAATACCTTTGGTATTTCCCTCAATCACTCACCTTCACTTACTGACTCACTCACTCACTATTTATACTGCACTCTCATTGGTGGAGCCGAAATGACGTCATGCACAATACTATATAAGGCAAGGCGAAGCACGAATATTGCGCAGTCAGTTGGAGGCATCCGTAACGCCAAGGAGCGCGGTATGGGTACACAAGTAATCGGGGGTAGGGGAGAACAAGAATAAGTACAAAAGAGAGAGCGTACTCGTTCGTAAACGTACGGGGAGTACCCTGTCCTTTTCCACCACCCACTCTACACTCTCAACCCAAGAGAGGTTGAGTGACGCATGGGGACAAGGCCCACCGCGCGACTTCGGCACTGCCCCATAACTCATGAAGGATACTCCAATGATTGTGCAGTGTAAATAGGAGACTTTCTCCTATAGCCCACGCTTATTAATATCATTGTACATGGAGATAAAATATAATTACCTGCCATCCCAGCTGCAGCACTTCCAAAGCCTATGGCGATAAAACAAACAGCCACAAGAAAGTTGGATGTAAACGCCACAATTAAAAAGCATCCAGAAACGACCAGACAACCTGCAGATTAGATGGAAAGAAATTTGTAAATCAGCTTATAAAATTGTTTATGTAATACATGAAACAAGAAATAGGAGATCCTAAACTTTTTTGAAGTAGATTTGGTTTGAGTCACTGAATTACAACATACAAAACCCGGCATAGGATTTTATGACTGCGAACTCCACTGTTTGTCCATGGTTTACGCTTCATACCTTACCCTTGTACCTACATGTAGGTCGTAGCGGATCAAAAATTTTGTCGAATAAGTTAAACCCAATATATGCCCACTCACGTTGGAACCCAAATGTACCAAACAACCATACGGAACACTACCTTCGTCCCAGAAGTAACAATACATGACAATTGGTTGCGACTTGAAATGGTGTCAGCTTAGATAATTGACCACATTTACTTTGAGTTTAAGGATTTTCTAATTGAAAGCTTCTTACTTGTCCTGTTTCTTGCCGCTATATGTAGCCGATGAAGGTGGCGCAAAATCACATAACGGCGAAAAGTAGTAGTTCTGTCAGAAGCTTAGAAGGTTCACGATATACACCTAAACGTAAGTAATTTACCTTCGCCAAGAAGGTTATGTTTTCAGTATAGTTAGCGATTGTCCGTAAGTATGTCTGTCTGTGAACGGCACAACTCAGGAATTTTTAAAGGTATGTCATGAAATTTGGTAGGTGGGTAGGTCTTATTGAGACCTATAAATGATTAGATTTTCACCCCCTGGCGGATTTTGTTGGTACTGCAGCAGAACTTCCGGTTTTGATATCTCGTGATCTGGACATACTAGGGTCACGAATTTTTAGTGGTAGATAGCTCTTTGGATAGAAAAGAAGTGACATGAGTTTAGGCCACCTAGCAACTTGTGTTGGACCTGCAGGATATTTTAAAAATATTCGAAGGAGGATAACTCAAGAACGGCTGGACGGATTGTCGTGATTTTTGTGTGTAGGTAGCTTAAGTGATGCTTGACATAATCATATGAGAAGTATGCAAATCGGGAGTTAATTTGGATAATAAATGAGGAAATTCCATAAATCTGCTACGTTCGATGATAGGACTATGAAACACATGTGATATGTTATTGGGAACGAGAAAAACATCTCAGGATATTGTAAAAGAAGACCTAATTTGCATGATTAATGAAAAATGTTATAATTCTATAGTTGTAACTGCTGGGAATTTCATACAGGAGGACATCAAAAGACATAATTTATTCAAATCATAACCTCATTTGCATAATTTGGGAGGAAGGACTAGAATAGCCTTTTTTTGTTAAGATAAGGCTGTAATTGGGTGGAAAATATGATCAATTGATATAATCCATCCAAATGAGGCTCTTATTTGCTAAATCAATGATTAATATTGTATAATTCGTCAACCAGAAGGGTTAACATTTGGCGAAAGTATGAGATCGTGGAACTCTTGTTTTGGAATTTTCCCAGGTTCTGTGTAAGAAAACCCCAATTTTCTACTAATCTTATATTTTTACGTGTTTACATTGCAACCTATGGTAGAGAGTGAGTGAGGGAGAAAGTGAGTTTACCTTGTATTTTTTGTAAAAAATAGTCGCAACTGATTTATTGTCTTTCACTCATTGACTAATGTTATTCCTAACACATATCCCTACTCCTTTAGTCAACTAAAGAGGACATTTAAAATACATACATACCAGTGACAGCCATTGATTTACGTGCGACGGTCGTTGAAACATGCCGACACAGTGTGTTTCCGATCAAGGTGAACAGCGGCTGTAAAACTCCGAATAACAGAATAGGGATTCCGGAAATGACCCCAACCTTTATGAATAATACAAACATTACAAAATTTGAAAGTAGTTTCCAAAGTGAAGTAACATACGCAGGAAATCTTGTCTTAAACAGTGTTTGCCTAAAACATGACTCTGATGACTGACTCTGGCGTTTCCAAACGAGAAAATATTCGTCTGTAGGGGCGATTTTTTAAAATTCAGAGAATCAAATTTAACGTAAACAGCTAACATTAAATGTTTGTTTACATGTACCTCTTTTCTTGTGATTGTAATTTACTTTTAATTTTCAACACATGTTTGTTTACAGCTTTTAAACGCACCCATAACGCGTCATAGTTAGGCAGCTCTACTTTATGAATGGCGCTTATTTCCAATTAAGTAGGGTTAATCGAGATTAATTTGTAAAGAAATAACCAAAACCGTACTAGTTGTATTGTCCTAATGTTACAATAATGTAGCTTGAAAGCATGACTCACTTACCAGTTCGACCTGTATCCCAAAGCTTTGCTGGAAGTAGAGAGGCAGGAGAGTTTCTTCCCATATGTACGAGGCTGCTAGAAGCATAATGGAGGCCCAGACGGCAGGAGACGTAAAGATGTGACAGAATGGAACACCTTTCTACAGAGAAAACGTACATTCAGTACATTATAACACAGCAAAACACACAGTCACACACACGCACGCACACAAACACACACAGGCACACACACACACACACACACACACACACACAGCACACACACACACACAGGCACACACACACACACACACACAGGCACACACACACACACACACACATATTTCTCATCCCTCGGGTTTGAATGGTTGCCGTTACTCACCCTTTACAAACGGCTATAATATAACAGATTGTTTAGATAATTTATCAGGTTAGTTAATGATTCAAAAGCAATTTGAAAGTTTTTATTTTTTATTAATAACCACATTTTTACCACGAGTCGACGTTTGGCTGACCTTATACCATCACCATGTAACACTATACTACAACAATACGTATGTATGTCCGAATTTTACGCCCATGACTGCACTGCATTACAGTAAATTCTAGTGTTAACAAGAAAAGCTTTTTAAAAAAGCTGGCCGGGGCGCACATTGAGCATAAGAGCAGATACAAAATTTCCCCGTGATAGCAGTGACTTAATGCACTGCGCTACTTGTATATATATATGACAATATGAATGTGAATCAGTGTTGCAGTCATCGTATTTAACAAGTGCCGTCAATCAACCTGTCACCCCTACTCCCCAATGGTAGCTCAAGCTATCCAATTCATATGCAAATGATCCCTATCAACCTGTCACCCCTACTCCCCAATGGTACAGCTCAAGCTAGCTAATTCATATGCAAATGATCCAACGCATGGCCCAAGGACCCAACCTACCAGCAAAAACTGGTTACGCTTTAAAAAACATTCAATTTAATCTTAACTTTGCTTTGGAGTAAGTAACGAAGAACAATCTCTACTCTTGCCATGGCTAATATAATCATGCTGGATTAAATGCATTTGTATAGTTTGTAATGTCAATATCTTTATACATTGGATTTGTTAAAGTATGATTGATGCATAGACTAGGTATATGAATAAATAAAAATGCTGATAAAATATCTGGTAACTGAAAAATAAGGCATTTTCTGCATACCATTGTAGTATAATTTATTATGAAGTTCGTCTTATTGCCTACCGTCTTGATTCCGTTTTTGTCGTGACTTTGTGTCTCCAGTGTATCTTTCCTCTCTCCCAAGCCTGTTACTGCGAATCCGAACGCAAGAGCTGCCCACGTTATCCCCAGGCCCCCTGCATTTTCATGGACAACAATGACCTGTACGTAGCTAACGCTACATTAGCCCTATCTAGACCGGGCTTGTTTGGGCTTAGTGCCCCCCCCCCTCAGAACTCTTAGTGCCCCCCCCTCAGAACTCGTGAACGGTATATCGAATGACCATCAATTTTTAGAGGATGGTGTACTAGTAAAAAATAATCATAACAACAATTTTGATGTCGTTATGACTTGTTGTGACGTCAGTATGACGTCATTAATGTGATTTTAGTGGCCAAAACTGTGTAGATGGGTTATTCCCTGAAACTCAATGGTAAACAACCAAACTTTAACAAAAATAGTTTATGATAGAATATTAGGGTGAATTGAGACTTACGTTGCCCATAGCAACACCGATGACGTCATAAATTGACGTCATGCATACTTAAGGTATCCGCCATCTTGGATCATCAATCTTGAATTTTTAAAAATTGTTTTTTTAAGATAAAGGCTAAAATACATTGAAAATAGACTAAACACTTTCATATGAACCCATTTTATAAAAAAGAAGAGTGTCATCGTATTAAAGCATAGAATGTTTACAGATATACATGTAAACAGACGCAACAAAAGTATATTAAGCGTTTAATAATTACAATCTATGATTAAAACTATGGTGAGGTAAAGTTGGTGCCTTACATTTGGAAAGCCCTGTTCATAATAAAGTTTTAGTGGTTAACTTACCAAACATGTAAAATGCTGTCTGCCAGCCCAGTCTTTGCGTCATAAAGCCCGTCGCGATTTTTCCAAGGGACTGGCCAAAGTAGTATGCTAAAACAATTTAGAAAAAAGTATGCATTGTGAACTAGATGTCCATATGAACATGTACTTTCGACAAATTAAATTACTCTCTTTGATTATGTAAAAATGTCCCTATTAACATAAATACATTAGTTGATTATTGCCTCTAAATCCCTCCCCAACAACACTTTTTAACGTGTAGAAATCCAATCTTTGGCCAAAACCTATAACAAAAATACACGAGTTCGTATGGATATAACTGGATCTATTTTTTACGCACGCACTACTAAAACTGTGAATGCACTGTTACTAAATCGGTCAATGTTTTATTGATTTGTTGATTTTTAGTGAACTAACAAGACAAGCTTCTGACATATTACCTGCAAAGATGTAGGGTGAAACCCTTGCACTTTGCCTTGGTGTTAAGTTTTGGCTTAGCACACCAAACGCGGCGGGTTCGCATAGTCCCTGTTAAAAAAAATCAAAAGTATTGACAGTGGCACCAATAATAATTTTGAGAGTGCATTGATGAATTGCATGAGCTAATGAAATTGAACTGGATATGGCAATTACAAATGCATAATATACTAAGTAAACAAACTTTAAAACAGAAAATGGCAAAATTTTTACAACTAAAAACTCAGTACATTAAAAGCAAATTAAAATGGTACACTATTATGGATGTCGTTAACATAATCACGTCGGTCTGTCACTACGGCATTCTTTCCCATTGCTAGGGGCGTTAAAAAGTATCGGGTAACAAGACGCAATTTTGGGCTAACCGTAAAACATTTGAAAATAAACAAAATAGTTTCAAAAAATGTTAGTAACGAAAATTTTGTTAAAAAATAAAATTAATTATCGTCTTTACATACATTTAATGGTAATGTTTCGTAAAATGGGTGATGTTTTCCATTAGGAAAGTCGATAATTTTCGGGATTTCGAAGCGCCATATTTTAGCCAACCATTGTTCAAATGTGACTTTATATATTACGCAAGATCCTCATTTTTTATTTTTTCCACGACTAGGAATAAGATGAAAAATAGTGTTAAAGGGATTTTCTTATATTCGACTTCAAGTATAGTTTTTGTCGACAAAGAGGTAAAAAACGCTTTTTTTGCTTTTTTCGCACTCGATTACCCATAATTCAAAATCGAGTGCATTTTTCAAAAATGCCTAAAACTCGATTGTCGGAAAAACCGTTACAGTCATTTTGAGCCGTCAATGAGGTATGTTGGACTCTCCATGTTTGAACTAGTTTTGCAGACATGTCATCTTGCCCTTAAGTCGGGATTGTGATATCCATACTATCCTAAACACAGGGGTGCCAGAGTATACAGTGCACATACAAGTTTACTAGTATACAGTGCAATTTTACGGATTTCAGTGCAAGTTTACTAGTATACAGTGCAATTTTACGGATTTCAGTGCAAGTTTACTAGTATCCAGTGCAATTTTACGGAATACAGTGCAATCGTATTAGTAGAGTGCACCTTTACGGAATACAGTGCAATCGTATTAGAATACAGGGCAATTTACGGAATACAGTGCAACTTTACTAGTGGCGTTTAATCGCGTGACTTGGACCCTGCTTTGCCTTGAGTTTCAAGATGGCGGACGCCGCTGACCCACATATTTCTGTCTTTTTTGAGAGAAATCGAAATTATTCCTATGCAGTAACGTGCCCTGTGTGTAGTATGTAGTGATTTGACCAAAGATCTATCTACTTGAACGGTCCAAATTCGCTCGCAAAACAAAGAAATATGTGAGTACGCTCCGTCAGCGGCGTCCCTGGAAAACGGGTCCAGGTTACGTCATTCTACGTCACTAGTAAAATTGCTCTGTATTCCGTAAAATTGCGCTGTATACTAGTAAACTTGCACTGTATTCCGTAAAATTGGACTGTATACTAATACGATTGCACTGTATTCCGTAAAATTGCACTGTATACTAGTAAACTTGCACTGTATTCCGTAAAATTGGACTGTATACTAATACGATTGCACTGTATTCCGTAAAATTGCACTGTATACTAGTAAACTTGCACTGTATTCCGTAAATTTGGACTGTATACTAATACGATTGCACTGTATTCCGTAAAATTGCACTGTATACTAATACGATTGTACTGTATTCCGTAAAATTGGACTGTATACTCTGGCATCCCTGAAAGAATCATTACAATATTCAAGGTCACCCACAAATACGACGGTACCTTCGCTATATGTTTCATGTCCACCGTCTGTCCACAACAAAATGATAAGTGTATATGTACTGTCCAGGAAACGGTTTGTATTTGTGATATTGTGGGGGTTTTTTCTGTTAAGAGGTACTCACGTAAAAAGGGCTGGAAAATCCGTACTGTACATGACCGCGAGTGACCCCAGATCGAACGCCGTTTGGTTCGAATCACGTCTTATCGAACACGATTCGGGTTCTAAGGTATTTGGGGACATTGGGGCCAGAATTTGACCACCGTTAAAACTAGTTCTGTCTAAATATTGGATCTCGAACCTTTCTCTTTGAAAATGGTAAACATTGCGTCATATGGCTAGTATCCCATATGGATTATTATCATGTAGCCAGGTGGCGTTGACCAATCAGAAGCCCCCATATCAAATTAATCATGACCCCGTAATGTCACAGCTAGCATGGCGCAAGAATTACAAAATTAAAGTGGTCCTTTGTTGTGAGACCAATATGGGAGTAAACCATCATGCAGGGTCTCTTTTTCCAAACATTTTTAAATTAACTCGTTTCCTTGTTGAATAGAAATGTTAACAGGCTTGCCATCAATCAAAATTCTAGCAATGCATAACGAAATTAAGACCATGCCAATATCCGTGCATTTTAAGCGGAAGAAAATGAAACATATTTTGCAACAACCCAAACAGTAAGTAAATTTCTTTCATAAAACATTCAAATCACCTGAGATGACTTAAAATTGAAGACTCGCCCCAGGCTAATGGACTAAGATAATCCCAATGGAATACACGTTCTATTCCAATGACATATTCATGTTAACTTACATGTATATGAACCCTGGTGGAACAGGTAAAACGATCACACTTAGGGGCATGCAATTAATAAATTAGTGTCAGAATTTTTCCTTGAAGAAGTGACTAAGGCCAATTTAGAGTCAATATGTTGGTCCGGGGAACCGGGAAAAAGCGAACGGGAAGACAGGGGAGTGACAGTGACGGTTTGTTATGTGGCATGCGTGGATGTGTCAGTATTTACTGTATACGTCTGGATAGACTACATGATAATAATGTCAATGGCTTGTCTGATCCTCGGTGTATATGGCGTAATACACCTTGTCAACTTCTATGAACCACCTCATAAAACCGCCTTGTTCGCTACGCTTACTCGGTGGCTTTCTTTGGTGATTATAGCAACTGACAAGGCTTTAATTAAGGGTTAATGACCCGCCCCGAGGTGAATATGGTGTGATAAAGCCTTGTCAGTTGCTATAACTACAGAATAAAGCCACCAAGTGAGCGCAGCGAACGAGGTGGCTTTATGAGGTGGTTATAGCAACTGACAAGGCTTTATCACACCATATTCACCGAGAAAGGGCGGGACATTAACACTATTATCATAAAGCTTACACGATAGCCTATCCAAACTGATGCAGTAAGTGACACAATGCACATGCTGAATAGAACATAGTTCCATCTGGAGTCACCTGAGGTCATTGGGTAGAGTTCATGTTAACTGGGTCACAGGCAGGGAACAGGTGTTCTTATGGAACACAACTTAAGTTATTTTTGGATTTTTTAGAACTAGAGCCGTGTTCTATTGGGTCACCTGAGGTCATATGCGGGTGATTATTGGGTTTTTTTAATGTATGGATTTGGATGATTAAATACCCGATTTTGACTCTATTTATGACATTACGGCATCATAAGGAATGTGGAATGGAGCCTTCTGATTGGTCAACGTCACCTGGCTATATGATAATACACTATATACACCTTGGGGCGGGTCATGAACCCTTAAAAATGTCTTACCTCTACCAGGCCTGCTAAGACACGCTGGGTTACTGCAGTCTTAAAGTTCCCAAACATGACAGGACCAAGGACATGCACAATGGAGCCGGCACCAAATGAGGCCAGGAAAATCCTGAATATTTAGGGTTTGGTGGAGTACAAAAATATCCATCTATTTATTAACGTTTTGGTTAATAAGGTGTTAAGAATTTTTAATAGACAACTAATATTATGATAGTATGAAAGTCAAGAATTATTTTTTGTTTCTTTTTTATCTAATTTACCAATTTTAAAGCAAGACCACCAAATGTACAAAACCTGAAATCTTTAAAATGTATATTTATCAGCAACAGTATTACCTTATAAAAACTCCTTACCTGATAGCTGAATATCGATAGGCCAGATAGCCTCCAATGAAACTTGATGGCAGCTGACCAAGGTAGAATATACTCATTATCACACTAACTTGGAACTGGCTGTACTGTGAGTGGGGCTGTTTTGAAAATATATAGACACAAATGGCTAAAATAATTCCTATTCTCTTCACAAAAAGTCTGTAAATAATCATTATAATAACCAAAATTACAGTTGATAAAGGTTAGATATCTAGGCATACAATATTCGAAGACAAAAACTCTACTACTAGATAAATAAAAGAATATTTCTTCTGGATGTTTGTTCTGGATGCGAGTTCGTAATTGTATCAGCGCGACAAAAATGATGTAATTTGGTGGCATTATAGTGACTGATGTCACTCAAAACGTCCGGAAGTGATATCCGTAATTTACTTATTTTGATTTGTCTTTACGGATCTTTTCAGTATAAATATTGTAAGAATAGTTTTAACATAAATCGCGTTGGTTGCCCTACGTTGATCAGGTTAAGTTTATGTTGACTACGAGGTAAAAAAAATGGTGTGTCAATATAATGTCGGTCCTTTATCATGGCTTACCTGAGAGACGCTTGTGTTTGTATCGTTAACTGGTGGCATCTGTAATTCAACCAGAACAACTGCGACGCTGCTTCTTCCCGCGTACTGAATTAGAATCGCCCCAAAGAGTAGAAGACACAGCAGTTTGTTGGACGTGGCTATGGCGTCTGTCGTATTGTCTTCTCCCATGGTGAACTCTTCCTAAAAAATTGAAATAGAGGGTTACCACTGTTAAACTAGATCTCGGCGATCTCATACCTCCACGACATGTTTAGTGCTTTCGTAAATCTTATGCATGGTGATGGCCACCTGTAAATGGCTTACATTTACAATCCTGCTCATTAGCAAAATTTTTATACAAATTATTTACATAGCCCTTACCTAGTAACATGCAACACACTGGTGAAATCCTTATCATTTGGCGTGGACAACGTATGATATTGTTTGTTATATGCAAGCACGACCTCTGGCATACCTTTGTCAAATCATGTTAGCCGTCCAAACTGACTAATTTTTATGCGATCATGAAAATTATAAGAGCCCCTTTGTAGATATTATATCAGGTGATCATATACTTCACCCAATGACAGGGTCATCCTAAGAAATAAGGCTATTCTAGTGTTTCCTAATAAATTATGCAGATGGTGTCCTGATTTGAATAAATTATGTTTAGTGATGTTTAGTTCACCTTAAATGAACTTCCAATTATGGCAAGTATTAAATTCCCAGCAGTTGCCACCATATAATTGTACCAATTTTCCATTTATTAGACAAATCAGGTCTTCATTTACATAATCAATATCTGTCAATGATCTTGTCGTGCTCAATTACATGTCACAAGTGTTTCATAACCCTAATATGGAATACAGCAGATTTATAGAATTTCCAAATTAATTATGGAAATTAGATTCTGATGTGTATAATTGTATTTAAATTATGTCAATCATCACTTGACTCAACCTGCAGTTCAAAAACAAGCTGCTAGAGGGCCTAAACCCATGTGACTTCTTCCCAAGGACAAGAGCTACCTACTATCCAAAATTTTTGACCCTAGCATGTCCAGATCGCGAGATATCAAAACCGGAAGTTGCACTGCAGTACCAAGGAAAGCCACTAGGGGGCCCAAATTCTAATCATTTTCGGGTTTTGCCACACCCTACCAACACACCAAGTATGAGACCAATCCATCTAGCCGTCCTTGAGTTATTTTGTTGACTAACAGACAGACTTACAGACTGACGGACAAACGAAACTGAAAATATAATATCCATGCCATGTCATGGAGGTAATTAGAGGAGAAGCTTATTGATAAGGAAATATGAAACCTTGTGAGTACACCATAACTATGTAAAAGCGAGTGGTAAATGTTAATCATTGAATGGAGAGAAACAGACACACTGAACGTTTTATGCTGCAGTATTATTAAAAGTTTGCATAGACACACTTCAGATTTAATACTTTGAGCCGGTGTCACAGCGATCTTGCCCCCACTTTTTTGTCCTCCTGGTGCGGTGAGATCACTAGCGATTTTGCCCGCCTCCCGTCCCTTAGTTAGTCTACTCTTTTACACCGTACCACAGGTATGGCAGGTTCACAAATTTCATTAACAATTCTAACGATACTGTTAAGGGTTCTGTTGAAGCAACAAAGTTACTTCACAGCACAGGAATCTCAACAACACAGGATTTGAGCTGATCATTGGAAAGATAATTTTAGAGTGTTTACATACAACATAATTCTCCGAATACAACGAAATACAATTATCAGAATTATTCCACAAATCCGTGTACTTAGACATGCTTAAACGGTAGTTTACGAGGAAATAACTGATTTTATTTTTGGTCGGGGGCGAACTCGCCAAAGGGGGGCGAGGTGGGGGGGAACTAAATCACTAGAGATCAGGGCAAAAATCACGGGAGGGCGACATCGCTGTGCATGTGACACCGGATCGAGTCGTCTTGGTTCAGTATCAGCCGTTTTCTACAAATAAGTTTAAAAATTGTACATTACCTTCACCTCTCGGTTCTAGCCGACAAGCAAAAATGTGGTTACTTTCTGATGACGTGTCTTGAAGTAGTCTGTCCACATCTGACCTATTTTCCCCATTCCACAGTTTACAACGGTTTTGCGTATTCATCCGCATAACATTCATCAGCGAGAATTCTAATGTTTAATAAGCTAGAAATAAGAATACTCCCCCCCCCCAAAAAAAAGTTTCATCTTTATTGCGAGAAATGATCTCTACTTCAAGCTCTTTAGTACTATTCTAAAATACTGGTTTGCACTATTTCTTGTGATCGTCGTGATCTGTTAGCGGGGGGGAATAGGGACAGTTTGTCAGACAATTTGCCTTAAGGGCAACTTGTCGCATTAAGTGGGTAGCGCTGAATGGCAGCAACGCCGCCAAAAGTGCAGCATCCTGTCATTAACATCTGACAGCTCAGCTGCTAAGCAAAGGCTTGGGGCTCAAATAGGGAGAATCACGATGGTCAAATTGGGGCCCAAATGTTCCACTCTGCTGTTATGAAGATTGAACCCGCGAATCTTGTTCGATATGACGTCATTCGAACCAAAAGGGCGTTCGATTTTGGGTTACCCGCTGTCATTTACCCGCTAAAACCCCATAAATCAGTTGTTTGGTTCTCGTGATTCTTTTTTTAATCGGAAATTGATATCAATTGGATGAAAATGTTGACACAGAGTTTAAAGTATAACATTCAAGGTAAACAAAATTACTTGTTACATTTTATTTTGACGTGTATTTACTCCCCAAGTACTTTTGTTATGGCATCACCACACCACGAAGTTGTAAACATATTGTGTTCACTCATGTTTCTTCTTCTTCTTCTTCACCAAAGTCGTCTTGGTTCAGTATCAGCCGTTTTCTACAAATAAGTTTAAAAATTGTACATTACCTTCACCTCTAGGTTCTAGCCGACAGACAAAAATGTGGTTACCTTCTGATGACGTGTTTTGAAGAAGTCTGTCCACATCTGACCTATTTTTCCCATTCCACAGTTTACAACGGTTTTGCGTATTCATCCGCATAACATTCATCAGCGAGAATTCTAATGTTTAATAAGCTAAAAATAAGAATACTCCCCCCCCCAAAAAAAAAAAAAGTTTGATCTTTATTGCGAGAAATGATCTTTACTTCAAGCTCTTTAGTACTATTCTAAAATACTGGTTTGCACTTTTTCTTGTGATCGTCGTGATCTGTTAGCGGGGGGGAATAGGGACAGTTTGTCAGACAATTTGCCTTAAGGGCAACTTGTCGCATTAAGTGGGTAGCGCTGAATGGCAGCAACGCCGCCAAAAGTGCAGCATCCTGTCATTAACATCTGACAGCTCAGCTGCTAAGCAAAGGCTTGGGGCTCAAATAGGGAGAATCACGATGGTCAAATTGGGGCCCAAATGTTCCACTCTGCTGTTATGAAGATTGAACCCGCGAATCTTGTTCAATATGACGTAATTCGAACTAAACGGGTGTTCCATCTGGCGCTACCCGCTGTCATTTACTCATTGTATACAATGTACAAGAACATGTCTGTAACTCTAGCAACAGACCTGTATCAATGTACTGCAGAAAATACCAAATAGAAACAAATGTAAAGGTATCAACGCTGCTGAGTGTTTTTTTTTTAATGGTGACCTTTACACCCGATGTGTTCTAATAAATGTTCACGGCCTTTCTAGCTTCACATTCATGCATTAAAGCCTGACAAACACTGAGGCATAAACTCAACAACAGCACAACTTTTTCCCTGTTCTTTTTGGCGTAACTAACTCGAAAAAATCCTACATTACTGTAATCACAGTAATGACTAAAAATCTGCCCACAGTCTTTACATTACCATTTGAATAAAGACCAAACAGACGGTGGGAGGTAAAATCACTTCCCTTGATCGAAAGAAAAAATACCGCACTTCGCTTAATCCCAAGAACACCGTCCGCCTCTTCTCTGTCGAGTCCAGTAAGTCCAGAAAGTCCAAGAGATCACCGTTCTGACCTCAAATCTACCCCGTGTGCAAGACTAATCTTAGGCTGCTGCCACACGGTATTACGGATCAGCTACCGAAGAACACCATAGAAGAACAAGGGGTACCAAATTCCGGTGAGTAAATTTCTTCTTAATTTTCATTATGAAAATGACTGGCTTTGTTTGAAAAACCTTTTTGCCTAGTTTTGTCGACTGACCGAAAGAAAATCCAAGGTCAAGTTGGTTCAATAGACACGGGAATTGGCCAGTAATTCTCAGCAGCGTTATTTTCGACAAAATTTTCTTGGTATACCAAGTACTGACGTTGACTCACTTGAAATGCACCAGTTTGCTTCACCGTCAGACCCCCGTTGCCATGGCAACGGCCACTATGACCGCCGCCAATGCTTAACTATGTGACTTAGTACCGAAACCGCGTTCACCCCCCCCCCTTCTGCCGTAAACAAGCCTTACACTAAGTAAAAATCACTCTAAATGATAGAGTAGGCACTAATGATTATTGTTAACAAGAAAAAGAGGGCCAGAATAGTACATTTTATTGGATAATAGGACCAATAAATGGCCCCCTAGCTCGTACGGGCCTTGGACGGGCCCTAGCCCTATGGCAGGTGCCGAAGTGCAAAGTTGGCAATATCTCAGTAACCGTTTGGAGTTGTGAAAAAAAAATTGGCCAAGTTTCACATCTTGCCTAGTTTTGTGTACTGACCGAAAGAAAATCCAAGGTCAAGTTGGTTCGAGGTAGCAGAACACAGTATTAATGGGCGACCCCCGGGGTCTGTGGCGCGGGTATAGAAAGTAGTACAGCGAATATTCTTGACTGGGTAGAAAGCCTGATAGGAGCGTCAGCAAGATGTAAATTGTGCTGTGTGGTGTAGAAATGTATCCGGTTTGAGACTGTATGATTTGAACTGTGGAGGTTTTGCAGTTCGTGTATAAATGCGCCGAATTTCGCAACTGGGTTTCCGGGTGAGTCGGCTGCAGTTCAGGTCATCTCCGTAGAGGGCGATTTCAAAGTGTACGTTACGAGCAGATACGCTGACAGGATTTTTAGGCTTCTAGATATTTTGTAGTTTGTACCTTCTTCTCAAACATATTCGATTTTCGTACTCTGGCTACAGTAGTACATATATAGTGGCTTGTCCGCTCCCTTAAAATGACTACCCATGAGCTGACAAGTGCGTGCACTGCACTGTAGATCGCATCGCCCAACTGCCAAATTGTCGAGGGTCAAATGTGACGTCTTTCTAAAGTAATAGGACCCATGATATTGAGAACTGTTCCGCGATCTTTGAGAACGATCGAGAGGTTTATAGCAATATGTCGTAGTTGGTCAATACAGGTTGGTTTTGGGGGTCCTGTGACCACAAATGCTTGTTTTCACTGGTCAGAAAGTATTCCGTTTTCGAAGGAAGCATATGAGGATGCGACAGTGCGAGAGTTCTGGGTTTGCAGCCGAATTCCAGTGAACTGTTTTCTGGGCCTGGTGCCTTTTTGGTCTTGACTGCTAGGGGGCGTTTGCAGACGTCCCAGACTTGCAGGGTTGGTACTTGTTTGGGCGCAGGAAAGTTGGGTAAGGCGAGGCGCAGGCAGTACGTTGGACACCACGATCATCATACTGGTCATTCTGGCATGGCTAATACGAAACAGAGGCCCACTTTATATACAGCTTTTCGGGACAGCGGGACTGCCGACAGCGGGAACGCCGTGTAAAGAGAATCCCCGACAGCGACGGTGTGTCTGAAGACGTCGTGACGTCCCAACAACGGGAAATATCACCGCTGTCGTGAAAATGTGTGTATAAAGTCGTTAGATACGCCCGTTTTTAATTAGGGTATAACAAAATCAAAAAAAAGAGGGAAAACTAGACAAGAGAGACCAGAGGTCTCTTAACTATTTGCTTTTTTTTTTAATTTTTCGACGTTCCTGAGACATAGACAAAGGAAAGGGGACACACCAACCCGTTTTTAATTGGGATATAACAAAATCAAAAAAAGAAGGAAGACTAGACAAGAGAGACAAGGGGTTTCTTAACTTTTTTTAACTTTAAAAGATGTGTCAAGCTACCCACGACAGGTTACTGTCCAGGTGCTCCCACCAACCCACTCCTGCCAACTTGACACATCCAGACCTCTGTTCAAGTCATTTGATGTGAATAGCCAGCTCCAGATAGTAACATTTTTGGTCTATCGCACGCCGCGCCGGGGCATGTGGGTTGTGCGTGTGGTACGGGAACTCATGACACGGATAAAGGAAGGTAATTAATAAGAGACATACGCAAGAAATATGAACTATACATACTAAAGAAATAGCTTGAAATTGTTTTTAATCACAATGATTAAGAAATTGAGTTTGTACGGCCTCACAAAGGTGCATATTTTTTTCTAATGTGTTTTCTAACTGTCGACATGTTGAACATACCTTCTTATTAATAGATTTTAATAAAAAAAATGATCAAACCTGTTTATACAATCCTGTCCCGATATCGCACTTTTGGCCGGAAACCAATCGATGGTATTGTTTGTATATTTTACTAGCACTTGATGTTTTAGTAGCGAGAATGTTAAGTTTTATTTTATACCCTTAATTTCACAATGTTCAATAGTTGTTGCCAAACATTGTACCATGTATAGTTATCGTGCAATCAATTTCTTCTTGTCTAGATTCCCATCCAAAGTTTCTGCCTACACCTACTTAGGTAACCTGTGTTAGTTACATACCGGCTATACGCGCTCGCTATCGGGGGCAGACGGAGCCTATTTCCCCCAAATGCCCGCTGGCGAGTTGACGTGTGAAGGGTGATGTATTTAGGCTATGTTGATTTGATTACTAGTATATGGATGACATCCTCCGGGAGCCCCAAAACTGATGCGCGCGTGCGAATAAAAAAAGTTTTGCAAAAAAAAAGTTCTTTTCATTATGAAATCTACGTGGTCATGAGGGTTCAGCAAATGGCACAGAATATGGTTTGCCGAATAATCTAGTCTTCATATTCATTTCTTTACAATTTCGTCTTTTTTCGTTTGATTTTGGCATTCTACGACATTGGTATAGTTTGTATTAATTTTTTTGTAACGTATGGTATATTTTTGCTCATTTTGCAACTGTTTTGTACGATTTACAGTATGGTTGAAACCTTTTTTTTTTGGAAACGGCCGAAAATTCATGCGCGCGCGGATGTCATCCATATAATCAAATCAACATGGCCTTATGGTACAAAGGCGTAACTCCATTTGCCAAACACGCAGTCACATTCACACATAATTGACTGATACGTCTCGACAGGCTAGATGTTATGTAGTAGGCCGGCTGCCATTCGTCGCTGCATGTTCCTCAATACAGTAATTACAATAATACTGAAAGATTTAACCATTAAAGGGGTCATCATTAAATTTTTTTGGATCAAAAACTGAATTATTTCAGTTAGAAATAGCCCTGTGCATGACATTTACATTTCTGACATTTGTGGTTGGCGCTAGAGCAGCCCACATGTACAGTTTCTGGATCTATCAAAAACTATCATTAGGCCACAGCAAGTAATTTTCATGGATTGCATCAGCTTGCGCGTTAACTTTCGCCTGATTTTGGGGGGAAAAAACAAGAAATCGTGTTGCCTTCTGACAGTGGTCAACATGACTAAAATGGGCAAAGATGTCTGTTACCACGTCGGAAGGTGGATGGCAGATAAATATTAAGCGAGCAGACAAGACAAGGCTCTGATTTATTGTTTTGCCTTTTACTTTAATGCAGTGATGCGTTTTATCCCTTTCATATGTGATGCTTACTGAATCAAAACCATTTGTAAAATAAAAACTTTTGTTTTTTAGTAACAACTTATTGGATGTTGCTATCTATAGTTGTCAGTAAACTTAGCACAATATACGTATCATTTCTTGGTTTATGATGTCAAAATTTGAAAATGTTGGAATCTTGTTTTTAAGCCCGTCTTTTACTCGCCCTATTGCATTAGATTTGGCGTCCGTGGAGGATGTTATCCATAAGATTTACCAGCA